GCAGGTTTGTGTACTTCACAACCCAGTCTCCCTGTTGGGTCAAGGGGCCTTTTTTGAGGGTCAGTTGCCAGGCAAGTGGTATGGCCTCCCGGAGCAGGTCCAGCCTTCCTTCAATGTTTTTAGCGTGCCTCAACTGGTGTCGCACTTGGGCTGCAGTTTTCCATCCCCTGCCTTGTATATCCCACAAATCACCTATCGTGTAAAGACCTTTTTTAACCCGTGTGAGCTAGGGGGAGTTCGTATGCAGTGAGAAGGGGTTCCCTGCTTGATCCAAGATGTAGGGATTACCAAACAGGGGTTGACGCCATGTGTCATGCCATCTGTTGGGTGGTTGGCTGCTTTGGTCCACACCGTCTCCATAATTTGAGCATGTTGGGCCACAACGGGTCATGTGATATGTCCGTTTTGACTAATTGAGCTGGATTATCCTATGTTGGTTGTTGTTTCGGGGACGGTATGGACCAGTGGGCATTGGTCAGCCATCGGAAAGGGTGTAGTTGGTTGGGAACGGCATTGTCCGGGGCCAGATTGCCAATCTGTAGAAAGGCCAGCGGTCTCCATGGGATATCGTCGCCTGTCAGCAATCTGACGAGTACGTTGAAAATTAGGGCCTCGCTTTCTCTTTGCGGGTCTAGAATCCCTAGTCCCCCTTTACTCCTTGGCTGTGTCAGCACGTCCCATTTGACCCGGTTAATGCACCCTTTGGCTCTAGTGTCATTTCTCCATAGGTAGGTCATTAATGCTTTTCTGAGCCTGGTATGCTGTTTCGGTTTGAGAGGCCACACTGCTAGTTTGTACCAGATTGCTGCCAACACAGCGTTGTTGATTGCGAGTGCTCTCCCCACCAAGGAGGTGTGCAGGCCCTCCCAGCGGTTCAGGCGGTCTATCGCCAGGTCCACCAACGCATCCCTATGGTCTGGAGGGGGGCCGAATGCTGTCAGTCTCACTCTCAATATTCGCAGGGCTGTGTCTTTTGCTACCCACGCGACTTGTGGCTTTTGTGGTGGGTCGAACCCCTGCGGGTGTAGCCACCACCCTTCTGTTTTAGAGCTGCAATTGTCTTTCATGTCTGCTGCTAGTGAAAACAGCTGGATGACTTGTGTTAGAGCATGGAGGCTTCGGTTGTCTTCTTTGATAAGCATCGTGAGGTCATCTGCAAATAACGATGTAATCGGGATGAGGTGTTCTGGCAGCTCGGGGATGGGGATTCTCTGGATCTGTGGATGGGCCCTGATTAGTGCGGCCAAGGATTCCATAACTATACAAAAAGCAGGGGCGCGATGGGGTCTCCTTGTCTAACTGATCTCTGAAGTCTAATCGGAGCAGCCAAGTGGTCATTCAACGTGATGTTTGTAGACGCTGACCTGTGCAGGAGCTGCACCCAGTTTGTAAACACCGGTCTAGAATTCATCCTAATCAAGCACATGTCCAAGAATTTCCAGTCAACGTGGTCGTAGGCTTTCTCAAAATCTATGAAGATGACAGCAACCTGCACCTTTCGTTGACGGACAACTTAATGGTGTCATTGACCAAAAGGATATTATCTTGGATGTTGCGATTGGGCATGAAGCCAGACTGGTCGGGATGTATCAAGAGGTTCATTAGCGGCAGGGTTGTCGAGCCCCGGCCCCGGGGCCCCGGCGGGGGTCCGGGGGTCCGGGGGTGGGCACCCCCAACCCCGGCTCCAGAACCCCCCCCAAAAAAATAAAAAATAAAAAAATAAAATAGTGGGGGGTGCACAGCGAGAGCACGCACCATATGGGCTAAACCCCAAAAATGGGGTTTTATGCCCCACCCCGGACCCCCCCCGGGGCCACACCCACCACTCGTGGGACCGGGGTAGCTGCTGGTGCGGGGCCGGGGGCGGGACCAACAGCCAGCGGGGGCGGGGTTGAGTNTAGTCATGTATTTGGGTTAGTGCGCCCTCTGTGTGCGGTGCGTTGTATCTGTGGATATTAGGAGATCCTATGGATGGACTTTATTTTCTTTAAACCACCAGTCCTCGGCCATACGTCAGCCACTGCCCCTTCACTACAAGTTTCGGAGGTCCGAAAGGCGAGACCCGCCATTGATGAATTTTATTGACGGCGTGACAGCCCCGACTTGAGTAGGTGGAGAACAATTTCTCCATAGGGCTGGGGCCATGTACTTCTTTTTTTTTTTTTTTTTGGTGCAACAGTCCCGGAGACAGCTTGAGGTGCTGGTGGGAGCAGACACTTCAAGCTGGTCCTGGGGAGGCTCCATCTATTGATGGGGAGCTGGACCTGCTGGGAAGTGGGCCCAGCGTCCCCATTACAGAAATTACAGATGTTGTACAAAGTTCATTGGTAACATGAGAGGGGCTTGCCCCTTCAGCCCACAGACAGGCCGCCTGATGCGGACATACAGTTCCTGGCATCCTTAGTATGTGGTGCGGTGCAGCTTGTGGTTGCATTTAGCAGTGCTCTGTTGGTTCCTAAACTTCGAGTCATGAGCCGTTGAACCCTTAAACCCTTAAACCCTTAAAAGCCTTGTACCGTTGACCCCTTGAACGCAGTATCCCTTCGCAGGCCTGCATTCGTCCCCTGATGTAGTTGTAGCAATCAGATTCGTCATGCCGAGCTCTCGGGCACGGTGGTCCGGGGGCCCTGCTGCCTTGGACCTGTCGGTCTTAGGTTGTTGTTGGGGGGGGGGGGGGACTCGAGGGGTTTGTTCAGGGGGTCTGTGAATTATACACATCTAGATGTGTATAAGAGACAGGTGCGGGGGCGGGGGTCGGGTAGCCCCGCGGCGGGGGTCCGGGGGTGAAACCCGTACCCCGACTTGGGCCCCGGGGATCCCCGCATGACAACCCTGATTAGCGGTAACAGTCTCCTTGTAAGTATCTTGGCCAGCAATTTGTAGGGGATAGGGAGGAGAGTTATGACCCTGTAGTTTCTGATTTCCTCTTTGTCCCCTTTTTTATATAGGAGGGTAGTGACCCCTTGTCCCATCATTTCCCCAAACAAGCCTTTTTTCTGCACCGCTCTAATGTATTCCAACAAGTCATCGCAGAAAAGGTCCCAAAACTGCACCCAGAACTCTTGGGGAAGGAGTCCACCCCTGGTGTTTTTTCATCTTCCATGTCTTGCAAGGCTTCCCAAACTTCCTGTTGGGTAATGGGGTTATCTAGTCCTGCTCTTTGGGGGGGTGTGAGACGGGTCTGAATTGCTTGCAGCAATTGTTCCCTCGCCAGGAGGACCTGATTTGGGGGTTTGAGGGGTGTCTCTGACGTGAACAACTTTTGATAGTACTTGGAAGCATAGTCCACTATGGTATATGCATTGGAGGCGACCGGGCCATTGACTTCGAACGGGTGTTTAAGTCTAGGGACTATATTTGCCCTCGCTCTTACTTTGGCTTTGCTGAAGAAGGTTTTGGCCATTGTTCCTTCTGTGTGGTCCCTTTTGATTTTTGCCTGAATTCTCCATGCTTGCGTTCGTTTGTCAATGTATTCTTGGAGGTGGTCCCTTGCATTTTGCAGTTCCTGAAAGGTAGGTCGGTTCAGGGGGTCCTCCATAAGTCGTTCATCCCAGTCCTCGAGTTGGCTCATGAGCTTCTCGAGGATGGCCTTACGTTCTCTCGCATGTTGGATGGAGTATTTCTTGGAGCGTTCTCTGAGTTGCGCTATAGCTTTGTTGAACCGCACGACCGTGTTTCCCGATTGCAGTTTTTGTGACCGCCAGTAGTGCCAGAACGTGTTGACCATATCTTTAAAGGTGGAGAGGGGGAGCAGGGATGTATCGAGTTTATAGAACCCAAGGCCCCTCTTTATGTGGCCATGAAGGGACAATCCAAGAGTGATCATTCTGTGATCAAAAGACTTGCAAGGGCTTATAGGTGTGATGTCCGCAACAATGAGGAGGCCAGCGAGATCTTTTGAGATCAGCGTGAGGTCAATCCTAGAGTTGGTCATGCCTTGCTGGCCTCTTACCGATAAGCATGTGTATGCCCTTTGGGCCGGGTGCAGCAGCCTATACGCATTTTCCATCTGCCTATCCGCCACGAGCTGGTGGAGCATGACGACATCCGGTTGGGCCCGGGGCAGTGGCGGATCTCTCTGGTTAGACTGTTGCGACGACGACTTGCGGTCCATGTCTGGGTCTAGGGTAGTGTTGAAGTCCCCTGCCATTATCAATGGAGCATCGTCAGGCAAGGGTTGGTGGAGGGTGAGCCATAATTCCACCCTACTAGCGGGGTCATTGGGGGCATACACACTTTCTAGGCAGAACTCCTCTTCTTGGAACGTGGCCTTGAGGTACACCCACCTGCCTTGTTGTTTGTCGTAGTCGAACATGATTGGTGTAATTATGGATGAAGGCGGGATCCATATTGCCACTCCTGGCGACGCCCGGTCTGTGGCCGGTGCGTTATACGTCGTGTAAGGCCAGCCCGTTTGTGCTTTAGCTGCATGCGGGGGCGTATCTTGCAAGTGCGTCTCTTGCACACACACTGCATCAGGCCATTGGCCAGAAATCGGGCATTTGATCATGTTCATTTTCCTGTCGATGCCTGGATGAGGCCGTTTACATTCAATGAGCGGATGTCCAAGTCTGCCTGTGCCAGCTTAGAGGCCCATTGGGGTTGTTTCCTGACCCGGGGGAAGACTGGGGGGGAAGGAGGCCATTGTCGGGGAGGTGGAGGCAGCTAGGGGGGATCATCCGGAGGACCTAACAAAACCGGGTGTTGTTGTGGGGCGGCCGGAGGAGGTTGGAAACAAGGTTCGTTTGCTGGTGGTTGCGGGTAAGCAGTGGAGGGGGCAGTTGCAGTCTGCTGTGTATTGGTGTCTTCCATTGGTCAGGATTTTTAGCATCGGGGCGTAAGGCAGTCGTTCAGTCCTTTATGTTTTAACAGGGAGCACAAAGGGCGGGTCCTCCCACTGGTGGTAATCCTCCAAGACGTTGTCTTCCAGGAGTATCTGCATGAAGAGCAACACCCTGCGCAGGGTCCAAGCATAGTTAGTCTTGAACCTGTCGGTGGAGAGGTTCATGAGCTCCTGATATGTGAACCATGTGAATTCTGAGTGGGCTTTGCTCAGACCAACATGGTGTTCCATTAGCATGATGACTGGGATAACGCCTTTGGGGAAGGACAGCGTGTTGGGGAGGACTGCTCCTTTCACTCCGTCGGTGTTTGTCTCCTTAATCCAATACTTGAGCCTCTTAAGGATGACTGCTGTGGACAGGTTCCCCCTCGGAGTCCATCCTTCCACAGTCAGTCCCCTCTGGGTAGTAGGCTCCCTCTGGTGGTTCAGTGGTGGTCTGAGTCCAAGTAGCCACTTTCCCCCATCTGTTGCTCTTTGTAGCGGAAGAAGGGTCACCCCTGGTGGCAAAGCCAGCGGAACGCTGTCATCATCTTGGAGGCTGACCAAGTTCTTCAATTTTTTTGGCAGCTCCAGTGCAAGGGCGTTCTCATCAGACTTAGCCTCTCGTGGTTGTACAGGGTCGTCATCATCCTGTCGGATATTCGACTGCTTGACGCGGGATGGGATGGTGGGTTAAGGGGCTTGTTGCTGAGGGAGCGGTCTTTGGTCTTCCAAGTGGGCAATCAGCAGTTGATCTTGGGGTTGGTCAGGAAGGGTAGACTGCTTCAATGTCAGCTGCTGTTGTTGTATTGGTCTTTCTGGATTGATCAGACGGCCTTGCGTCGTCTGGGTCCCATAGAGTGTGTTGCACAGTTCCAGCACGAGAGTTTTGGGCCATGCCAAACCCTTGTGCAGGAACGCCTCTTCCTGCACGTGCTGGTCGTGAGATTGTCCAACCTGGTCAATGAGTGCAGTGCGTTCTTGTGCGAATTGCTCTATTTTGTCCAGGAACTCATTGACCACGAAGACAATGGCAGCCCCCACGTCCATCCAGTCGATTGCTGAGGCGTCCTTATATTTTTTGACAGTTGCAAGGATCCTGGGGCTGTGCATGAGGACACTCTTTGCTTCCTCCCAGTATCCGGTGTTTAGCTTCTCGGCTGGTCTTTCATTTGTCCAGTCTATCAGAAAGCAGAGTTTTTGTTTGACCTCTCCATTGGCATAAAGCGGCGTGGTGTCCAAGGCCGGTTCTGCTTCCATGTCGTCGTCAGTGGGGGGAACCTAGTCTGGCCCTGTCGAGCAGCTTTCTATTGCGGTTGGTTTGACATCAGCAGGGGCCGAAGTATCCATATCCTGGGGTTCCTGTCCCAGCATTTGGGCATTCATCAGGTCGGTGTCCTGCAACTGCAGGAGGTGTTGATTTTGAGTACTCGGCAGGCCTAACATGTGGGGCTGCTGGTGTTGACAGTATAGCCGGTTCTGCTTCTCCACCTCCTGTTGCCTGTAGGCATGCAGCTGCTGCTGCTGTTGTTGGAGTAATTGTTCGTGCTGGCTGCACAGCTGCTGCTGCCACCGCCTGCCGTTGTTGCTGGTGGTGTTGCTCCAGCTGCGCCTGTAGCAAAAGTCAAAGGTGCTCCTGGAGACACGCCCGGTTCATCTCGTTTTGGTTGTGCTGTTGTTGTGCCTGCCACTGCCCTTGTTGCAGCATGTGCAAATTGAATTGCATGTGATCCTGGTGCTTCTGATGCTGTTGTTGTTGGATATGATGGCAGGCCAGCAGTTCTTGCTTCTGTTGTTCTTGCAGGAGGAAGTGTTGTTGTTGTTGCTGATGCATTTTCTGGTGGTTGTCATGGTCCTGCTGCATCAGCATCTGCTTCAGCTGATCTTGCTGGTTTTGCTGACAGAGCAACTGGTGATGCTGCTGTTCTTGATGAGCTTGCTGCTGTTGAAGCTCTTGGTGCAGCTGCTTTTCTGCCTGCTCTTCTTGTTGGCGGAGCAGGAGAACTCGACTCTGATCCTGCTCAATTTGCAGCTGTTTCAAGTCCTGTTGCGTCCTTTGCTGTGCCAGTTTTTCCTGTTGGTGGAGCAGCTGCAGGCGTTGTTCCTCTTGCAGAGTTCGCTTCTGGTGCAGTTCAACTTGTATGTGGGGCCGGGCCAACGGATGTCCCCGCGGAGCGTCCCGTTCGTGATTCTGCCTTTGCCTGTGGTGGGCTTGCTCCAGGCGTTGTCCAGGTTGGTCTATGGCACACCCCTGCCCGTCCGCCCCTATCAGTTGGGGCGGGTGGTGGCGCTGTTGTTCGGTCCCTCCCGAGCCATCCGGTTGCCCAAGCGGGCCGTGTTGTAGATGAGAGTTTCCCTTCAGGCAACACATGTCACTTTGTGCCATTTCCTTGCCCTTCGGCTCTCCATTTGCAGACCCTTTAGAAAGTGCTTACACCAAGAAAACAAAAGCCAGATGGACATGATGTGGATGCATGCAGAAAGTAAGCAATGGGGGTAAATACCACCACCTTCTTCCCCCAAATAGAATGTACGGTCATGAAAGCCGCATACAGAATGTAAGCAGTGGG